CCCGGGCAGCTGCCGCAGGGCCCAGAGGCCAAAGGGCTGTCCCAAAGCACTCGGGCAGCTGAAGCAGGAGGCAGGAGAGCTGCGAGGAGCTGCCTCAGCGCCCAAGGCAAAGGCCAGCCAAGGCCAAGTGACAGCATTGCCCAGCCTCATGCTGCCCACACAGCTTCAGCTGCTGCCCCCTTCTCACCATGGAGGGACGGTCCTTTAGCAGGAGGAGAGCCCTGAGAACCTGGTGATGCATCTCTCTGGAATTGTACCACAGGTACTTATACAAGATATCCATTAGGCTGTCACCACAGTCACTCAAGTCCAGGCAATCTAGGAGCTGAAAGGCACAGGGCAGTGAGAGGGGAGCCGGCCGGCAGGAGCCTGGAAGTGCGCAGGGCTGGGCCCAGGCAGCAGCACAGGGCGCGGGTGCCGTCCCAGGCAGCTGTGGCTATGCCAGGGGACAGGGCTGGCAGGGAGCTGAGCGAGGTAGTGCTGGCCATCAGGCTCACCTCCACAAGGAATGCCATGGCAGAGACATCCCAGAGTGGCAACGGTTTGCTGAGCACCTCAAGCAGGTAGCTTAAGATGCCTTTGCACAAGTGGGCGGATGCACGGCGCATTACCCTGGAAGGCAGAAAATGGCAGAAAGAGTCTCAGCAAGGGGGAGAAAAGCCTCTCCCAGGACTGATGGACACAGTTGTCCTATTGCCCCAGCACCCTGCGAGGGGATGTGGGCTCTTGAGATGTGGCTGCTCCTGGGCACCCTCCTCTCACAGCCTTTTGCAGTCTCCTTGGCCATCCCTCGGTGACGAGGCCCTCAGGCCCATGGCCACGGGGACTGTGGGGGGCATCCCGGGCAGGGGGCACAAATGTCAGAGGCAGTGGGGAGAAGGGGGGCTCACCTGGCCAGCAGACCCACGGCATAGTGGTGGGTGTCAGCACAGAGCAGCGTGTCCCAGCCACGCTTGCGTTCCATTGCCACCACCACATGCTCCAAGTGGAGACTGCAGAGCAGGGCCTTCAGGGTCTGCACTGCAAACCTGTGCACACAGCAAAGCCCAGGTGACGCTGGGAGCACTGGCTCTGAGGCTGGGGAAGTGGCAGGGACAGGAGGAGTGGCATGGAGCACCTGTTGGGGCTGGTGGAGAGGCCGTGTTGCTCCTGGCATTCCTTCCAGAAGGTATGGACGTCCTCTGTCATATACAAAGTACTGAAGTACGTTTGGAAGAGCAGATGCACAAAGAGGCGGGGGAAATAGACTGTGAGGATCTGTGGGCAACAGGGCCCCTGGAGGATCTTCCACATCACCAGAGTTGCCTGCAGAGGACAAAGCAGCCCGAGACAGCGCTCAGTGCCGGGGCGTCCGTGTGGCAGGGCCTGAGCGTGGCAGGGAGAGGCCGGGGGAGACGCAGGGGGAGCAGCGGGCCTGGTGGCCCTGAAGCTGCCCCTAGGCCAGGTTTGTGGCCAGTGCCTGAAGCAGGGAGATGCAGTGGGGGAAGGAGGCAACAGAGCTGCTGGAGAGGCGGCCGGCCTTGCGGTGAGCAAAGGCCAGCTCCAGAAACTCACAGTCAGGGAAAAGACAGCCGTCTTGTCCCCATCAGAGGTGCCCAGGTTTTTCTGCGGCCAGCTCCCCACCACATTGATGAGGAGCGGTGTCACTTCCTCTGAAATCCAGGGCGAGAGCAAGATGGTCGTCCACATGGCCATAGCAGCTCTGTGGGGTCAGACACAGCACCGTGGGCTGGGCAGCAGCGGGGAGCTGAGCTGGCCGCCAGCTCTGCCTGTGCCCACTGGCCCTGAGCGGCAGCAGCAGCCAGGCAGCCCAGCCCTGTGGGGACAGGCCCCTGAGGGGCAGGCTGGCAGCACGGCAGCGGGCTCGGGGGCCGACTTTGTAGCAGGGCTGGCAAAGGGAGCAGCCAGAGGGCCCTGGAAGTCTGTGTTGCTCACAGCCCTGGGCCGGGCTGTACAGGGTGATGGGCTGGGGAGTCCTGAGGCCTCGGGGCAGCTGGGCCCCATACCTGTCACACGTTGGGGCCACCCGCAGGAGAGTGATGGCCACATCATCGGGCTCTGCCTCGGCCA